TATAAGGAGAGGTGAGTATGACGCCGATTGATTTGACTCGATGTGATGGGGGTGATATGATGGGGTGATGCAAGTGAGAAAATTGGAACCATACGATACGACGCTGAGTCCTGTATGATATGTATGTATGAGACCTGGAGACAGTAATGAGGTAAGCCTGGCCTGGGCTAGATATTAGGAAAAGATAGCCTGGCTTTTTTTATTTATCGAATAGCAGAGATTGGAGTTGAGTTAAGTAGAGCCCGGCGTGAAGATATCAGAGTCCCCACCGCGGAAGAATTCGAGGACGTCTCAATAGCGGTAGTAGATCTAGCAAACCAACACGCGCCACAATGATACTGATCGAATGGAAGCGGAGCCAAGTCGTGGAACGGGCAATAGATGCAGCACAGCTTATTTGGTTATTGTAACTTCGTAGGGTATAGGCTCAAAAGTGGTTATTCTTTGGTATCAATTCAGCTGGGTTGGTTGACATGTGAGGTAAAAACATCTGAGACTCATGGCCACCAGGCATCTCATGTTGGCAAAATGGATACAGTATCTGTGAAGTATTCATACTAGATATGTGACATTTCCACTTTATTGTGGCTCAAAGTCAAGCATTCATCTCCATCACCAGCCTTAAAAAATCAGTCCATTACCGCATTCAGAGTCACTCATCCAAAATCAAGTAAATAAACAATGATGGCAACTCCGGAAGGAAAGCAGGACGTGATCGAAAGACCTTTCAGTCCATTGGTGATAGATTAGCCAATGAAAAGCTTCAAACTAAATCCCATCAAGGACTCACAGTGCATGAGACCACCACGTTTCTACTGCACGCTCGAGTAACTCGAATGTCACTAATGAAGTAGTTTGTCCACAGCTAGGTTATTCCAAGCTACGGCTAAGCGATGCAGAAATCAGTCATCAGCTTTGCCTGCCGAGCCTACCTAGTTCTAAATTTCTTTTACCGCCGAATACAACTGTGATTAGATGAAGTAGCCGCAAAAGAACATTTCCCGACCTCCAACCTTGAACATCTAGAATATGAAGAAGGGGGGGGGGTATAGCTAACGTCAGATATACCGGATAAAGACAGGTACCAAAGTCACTGTCAGCACACCCTTCCATCCATTGCTTCCCCTCTTTTCCTGATCCCCTGAATGGACGAATGGATCAAATTGAACGTCGCCTGCATCAAGGCCCAACTTATTGTATCTGCGGCCCCGGCATATTAAAATCTATCAAATTTGTATGGTCCATTTTTGATCTGTTTCGTCAGTGTTTCCAGAATCTAGAGGTGCAGAGGTGTTCCTGAGCCGAGACCTCAGATTATCAATTTCTTGCTGTGTAATTATCATCATGCAGATGCCCATGCACATATAGGCCTCATCTGCCCCATTTTGTACTCGAAAGTACAAATCATCTCTCTTCTTCTTCCCACTTCCATTGATAAAATAGCTTTTTCTAGCATATCATGCATTCTCATGCATCCTCATGCATCCTCATGCATGTACTTATGTACCTCGAGCATTAGTTTGGCAGGTCTTAACGATCATTGATGGTATCCTTCCCTTGGTTTCCATATGCTCCACTGATTGATCACTCGTACAGAGTACACGGTACAGCAGGAAATGGAGAAATATCCGAAGCTTCACCTCGAAAGAAGTTGCAAGCTAAACATGGAAAACCCTATCAGGATCTGCGAAAGGATTTCAAACAATCAACAATATCTGTACCGCCTTTGGCGACAGATCTCCCGCACATCAGAGCACATACATCATGTACTAAACCAAACCAGGGCATTGCGGGTTAATTGACACCAAAATGGGGTCGCAGAGCTCATGACCTTTACTCAGGGACACTTCCCTCGTAGGTAGTAGGTCCACCTATCAAACTGCAAAAAATTCGCCATCATCCCAGTAAATAGTAAATACATTTTTCTGCTGACAGTTACATTTTTCGAAAGTCCGATGGTGCTCCTGCAGTTAATAATGCAAATGCGATGCGAGGACTTCCTTGTCTTGTATCGGCTGCCCCGCCATCCAATCTGAGTTCTGAGTTGACTTCCTCATAGCTTTTGTTTCAGCCAAAAGGCATCATCCTCCGTACGGAGTACATTTTGACACGCTTTTTTACCCCTCAGTTCCAATGATCCCGATGAATATCCATGCCCCCCGCCCTTACTCATATATTCACAGGACCATTCGACGAGAAGATTTTGCTCTATCTTGGAAAGTTAACACCATGTATTGGAGACGCTCCAATTACCAATTCCAGCTGCAGTATAAAGAGTATTGCGGCCAATTGCAGAAATGTCAGGTTTTCATGAATACGAAGTAAGAAAGGTAGGTTATGGTGGAGAAGAGAAGACTTGGATTTCACTCAATTGGCGAGATCATCTGAACTTTTTCTTTCCTTTTTCTCACATCGTGATTCATGTGAAAGGGGAAGGAAAGGAAAGGAAGGGTCCGCTTGACAGCGGACATCCCGCCCTTGAAGGAAAGAGTTTTGACTCCATGGATATCTGAAGTCTATCTAACCTTCTAATAAGACTATAGGCCACGGCGGAAGCTCGGATAAGAGGGGTAACCTTAGACAGTCGCCATTCTCGACTCTCGAGACAATACCGGTACCTAGGTAGTATCTATCAATATTTGACAACATTTGACAATCCTGCTACGACTACGAGGGAGGTACCTCAACTCCTCGAGTACATACTGTTGTCAATTGTGAATTGTCAATTCTCATCCAAACAATCCTAGGAGCAAATCATGTCACAATACGGGGAAATCAAAGACAACCTTTCGCAATGGACACTGCCTACCTGGGTATTCTCTAATCCTCCAGTCCTCCAACAACATACCTAGGTCATGTTAAACGATGTCTAGATTCCAGCTCTTTCCCCGTACAATTATGATATGATCATTGATCATTTAAATCAATCGAAATCCTTTGGCACCACGTATTCAATACTTATATCATGCTTTACAGCGTTCATGGGCCTTTGATTAGACCACAACAATCGCTTAACCAAGCAAAAATCCATTTTGTGGCCAATATTAGGCCTGTATCTCATATGTGTACAAGCTCTCGTCCAGTAGATTTTTATCATCTCCAGCCACCATTGCTCTATGCCATACATACAAACAGACACACAGCTAAACAACACATCAATCTCATTAAACTTGGATTCAATGAACAAATAATCAAAAATCCTTCATCGCCTTGGAAGTCACTCCACTACTATGATGGAATTCCACCAATTCGGTTTATTCTCCAACCGCGAATACCAAGATATGACGATACTTCTTTCGATAATTCGATGAAATCGATATATCTCCTGATCGGCCCCAGCTGGATCATTCTAACAATGGCCATGGGGTCGTCGTTGATCCAGGGACTCTGTTTGTTTTTAGATTGAAACCCGAATTCAGATCACGTTGATTGATATCCACCTTTTCTTATCCGCTCGACTCTCGAGCTTCTTACACAGTACAGTGTAGACTCCACTTCCAAGTCAGAGGACTCTCTATCAACTCTAGGATCCCAAGTATTCGATTGCGTCAAATGCGCAGGAAGGAAAAACATACTTTCCTATCATCCCACTTCATTGTCCCCACTATGTATACTCGAGGACCCATATCAAGAGACCTAAGAACCTGTCACCGTGTCACGAGCCTTTTCAAATTACCCCTCATGTTCATCTTGAAAGATTCTCCTTCTGATTTCTGTGAGTCAGTACCTGATCAATATCATTAGTACCGATTTACTTGAGACTTTCATGTACGTCATTCCCCTTTTCTTTGAAACCGCCAGTGCGTGATCATCGATGGAAATAGTCTGTTTCCATGTTGCTGTAAGATTCGCTTTCTTGGCCTTACTTGGGCGTGCAGCGGCGGGCATACAAAGTCAAAATATTACATGCCTCCAACCGAGCCATAGTGGTGGGGTGGGGTGTGAGAACCAATGATACAGTACGATTCTTCATTTATCTTTCCTTCACATTGATGTCTTGACATATCAGGAATGATACGTTTCTCCAGTCCTCATGTCGAAACTTTATTTCTAATAATGCACATCACGAAGGCTGCAGAAAATATCCCCGCCTGCTCTTTTCTGGAACACTGTACGCCCGTCAAGCCACTCCGAGAAGTAGCTGGAGTCAAAATCCCAGCCCTTACTTAATTTTGCTCAACGTTTATTTTCCCTGGTCTCACCAGCCGGGCGTGTAAGCTAATTTGATCCGCATCCTAAATAAGACAGCGCTATTGAGAAGTCTGAAACTTATCCTAATAAAGGTCATCATCACACAACATCAATAATCACAATGTTGGTATTCATCGTCAACTAAATCACGAGACAATCTGGAATCACATCATTTTCTTCATTGTCTTTTCTCTCGTGTCCGTTTCATCTAGTTTTCTATTCTGTTGTTGCTCTACATTTTGACGCAAGGGATATATTGCCTGAATACGAACAATCATATTGCCACGCTGTAAAATTGTATACTGCAGTGCGTATATATTTTTGCGTATCTGTGTTTGCATGGCACGAACTAGTTTTGCCTGCACGTGTAGCAAAGCTCGGTGTAACGGGTTTACCCCTCCACGTTCCAATGTGAGACATGGCTATCGTTATCAGAAGGCCCATCCATTCTTAGCTCTCCAATGATTTATGTTGTGGGATTTCTCTGTGAACACAATCACACATGTTGTCACAATCTACTCGGTGGTATTCAGCCTCGGCGCTTGGGCAGCTTGATTCGAATGTGGCGTCTGGAACACAAGGCTGGCTGTTGTGATGATAGGTTGGGGAAAACACGGTCTGGATCACAACTTGAGAAAACTCGTTTTCTTGGGAGTGATCCCAGCATATGTCTGTCTTGAAATGGTTGGGAAAAGACTATCCAATTGTGTATGTTTTGTCCTCAAAATCTCACTTGAGCCGCATAGCATCAAATGAAACCATTTTGAGAAGTGTCTCATTGAGTAGAATTATTACCAAAGTATGCTGCCTCACATGGCGATATGTGGTTCTCGTGCACAAAATAATTCTGCGCTACTTAATCTCTCCGCGGCTTTATTAAACGCGCAGGTTGTCGGGGGCACGGAACGAGGTCGATGCCTTGACACTGAGACCCGGTGATGGTATTGACGATAACGAGCTGTCTTTACGTTATGGCGCTTATGTTTTTGGAAAAGAGGGTATGGTTCCTGAATGATAGAAATAGTCAAACTCTCCAAATTCGAACCTAATACGTTCCGTGAAATTTCACATTCAAGCTGAACAGCATTAGCCCGCGTAGTGACATAGAACAGCGCTTCTATACCGGTAGTCTGGATAGCCGCGCTGAAAACCTGTGATGGCATAACAGTTGGTCTCTCCAAGGTCCTCAACTGCCGAATACAGCATTTACCGAGGATTGACAAGTGCCGGGAACTGCGAAATGTATTGCAGATGTCTCATAATGCCAGTCCCTACTTGCAATCATTCCGTTATCGCTATCATATCAGTGTGTTCAATAAATCGGTCTGATGGAATTGGTTGACGCTTTGATGTTTCAACGCGATCTAACATTCACAATCACTTTAACATTTCGGATCATTTGAATGTTCAATTTAGAATTATTAGGGATTTCAAGCGTTTCATTGTCGGGATATAGTCCAAACTATTAGACACTCTATATTAGATTGATCAACATTATATCGCTGTTCGAGGAGAATCTTCCACTTCCTCTAATCGAGGCGAAGATAATCCTATTGAAGTCACATATCTGTCCTTCATTGCTTAGAAACAAACATCTCACTGCAATCTGTAACCCATTCACATGAATGATAAACGCTTCTTACCTCATCATTTCAAGATCTCCAGCCCAATATAACCCATTCTTCTGACCCCCAATAATAATCACTCATACCGCGCCATCAACGTTAAAAACAAATTACAACACCAAAGTAGCAATCATGGATCTACACCTGTTAATTCTTTTATTCCACGCAAAGTTCAATCTTACTATGTTCAGCCTTGGAGCGCTACTGTAAAGTTCGTTGGAGTTGGATTGGAGATCTAACTTCGGCACGGTATGTGCAGCGCCGCATCAGCCGTAAGAATGCTCGTTGGTCTGTTGGTTGGGTGTTGATTTTTGTGGGAGCTGAGAGCTGAAAGGTAGATTCGTATTGGGATGGTGGGAATTTTGTTTGGGGTGGGGAAATACTGTGTTGTTTTCGGGGAGTGGAGGGTGAATCTATGAGGGAAGGATTAGATTCGTGATTCTGGATACTTTGTCGGTGTTTGGAGCTGAGTCTTTTTGTTGATGGAAATGTGGGGTGTTTAGATGCATAATCTTACCTTCGAGAATTTCAATAGTGTATATTTTTTGCGAATGTATCATCGGCTGTTCACTACTATTATATTAATATAGTCTAAGTCTATCGGCTCGAGAGAACTTGGATCTAATTGCTGTTGTTTCCCAGTACGCTATCTAAATAGTGATATATTCCCCCTTTCCTCTTTAATCCCTTCCCTTTTTACTTATTTCTTCATGTTAAGTCTCATTTTCATCAACCTTGACCTCAAGCACTGAATACATCTTCCAGATCCTGTTAGTCCCTTTCATCTCCCTTCAATTGATGTTCTTGATTATTTGTCTGATACTCTTTGCACCTCACCTTTCTTCCCTTCTCTTCCCCCTTCAAGCTTTTAGTATCTCATGGTTCATGCTATGACTCATCCAAGTTCTTCTTAATACTTGAACCTACTCTCATCTCAAGATAGTCAACCCATCTAGTTCGTCTATGAAGCAATCTTGAATCTGATTTTCTAAGCCGAAAAGCTAGCGTGGGGGGTTTCATGAATGGCATGTTGTTGTGTCAGGATGGAACATCGTGTATAGTATAAAATACCTGATAGTTTGACATTCATTATTATACGAAGAGTTGAACAAATCTGCTCTCTTTCCTTTCTTACTACACATATAGATGACAGGTTCTATCACACACCACGCATATACACAGTCCTCTAGCTCGAGCATTCGATCGTTTCTTTTCCAAAAGATAGGTTTAAGTAACCAGACCTGGCATATCGGATAGTCATATATTGAAAAGTTTTCCTTTTAGTAATGCGGTGAAGTGGGGATTGGACAAGGATGAGAGGATTAGAGTCTCTAAATTGAGATTGAGTTCTAGTTTCGGTGAGGACCTAGACCCTGAGGCGTATGAAGTCATAGGAAAGAATAGATAGCTGATTATAGCAAACTATCAAGATATTAGATGTCGTGGACTCGAAGTACTCACCTCAAACATGGGAAACAAAAGAAGATTAGTAGATCTATCCAGGAATATAACAAAGTAAGATGTTACTTTCCGCTGCCTGTGATGTAGTATTCGGTACCAAATTCATCTTGCAGTTTGAAGTTGTAAATAAACAGCTGTTAAACTGCGAGACTTCACGAGTATAGTTCGACTAACCACGAAGCATGGGATCCAGAGACAAATCTTTTTGGTAATACCCTATTTTTTTGTGTTGTTTCTCACGATTTCTAATGCTAAACTACTTAACCACCAAAAAGAACAGCACCCAAACGCCTACCCACCTGCTCAATACCCACCTGTCCACCACTAATATCCTTTCCTGTGAAAGTAATTTACGCCAAACTAGTTACTCCCCCCAGTAGTGCGTTTGAGTTTGTGTTCTTATGCTCTCCTCTTTCCACCACTTCCTAAACTTCCACTAGTCGCTGCACTCTTACCATTTCCCGACATCCTCAATCTGTCTTCTTCTTCATATTTCGCCCTTCTTCTTTCTCCATCTTTAAACCTCTTCTGCTCCTCTGCATTAGTCCTGGAAGTAAGGCCTTCCTTTCGCCTCCTTCTCCTTTCACTGCCTTCATGACACTGACTCATGTCCACATGGTCTTGTCTTGCTAGCCTACGCCCAATAAATCCACAAAGTGGTTCCATATGTTGACTCTGAACATGTTCCTCGAGATCTTTCAAGCTATCCCGAGGCCTACTTTTGCAATTGTCAGAAAGTTGACACACATAGTACTTGGTACCTCGTAGCGATTCCATTTTGTGTTTACTGGAGTATCTTTCTAGTGTGTAATGGTTACCAGGCGAGAGGCTGTAACATTCCAGTTTTTTAGGGTCGATTGAGGTGGCTTGACTAGCACCGCTACGACGTTCCTCTATATTGACGTTTTGATGACCTGAACGATGTGACATGTTGACGATTGTTACAGTCTGATTTTCGAGGAAAGAAAGGCGTAAAAAGCACTATGTACTGACAAATGGAAGTCGAGATAATGAACTTGATACTAGATAGTCGTAGTAATGACGATTGAGTAAATTGGGTGTGGATGTTATTCTGATTTCACTCGATGGGCAGTCCTGACATTCTTATACTCGAGTATCGATACTAGATTGATGATCTTGTACGTATAGTCGCAACTGATAACCCTCCAACATGTCTTTCGACATTGGAATAAGTAAGAACAGATAAGGTCGATACCTCGTAGACCGCAAAAGAACCTCTATTCATGGTGGGTCAATCCCTTACTGAAGGCCTTGGAGGCCGATTATCAACCAATTTGTAAACCGGGCCGGAAAATGTGGTAAAAGGAGTCCTCAACATGTTAATTAACAAGTTCGACACTCAATACTTACAGCCACCCTGTTGTTTTGCAATGGAAAATCTTTGATATAGCTTTCTGGTGAGATAATCTCTAACCAACATGGCAATCAACAGACACCAACTTCTTTGATTTGACTATTCGCTTTCCACACCTTTCGGGAAACAAAAGTCAAGAACCTATGAATGACTGTGTATGATATTTAGCATCACTCAGAAGTCTAATCCATCGTGCCCAAAAGACGTAATGCATTTTTCGCAAGTTATCTGATCGAATCTATCTTAGGAAGAAAAACTCATAGAGAATAAAGCTGACTCAAATCTTTCAAACATCTGTGAACAAGGCGAGACTGGATCATCTTGTTCGCAACAGGAGAAAAATCGATCCACTTGGACTAAGTGAAGGGGATGCTTGCGCGAACGCATGTAAAAAATGGAACGATTTCCATCTTAGCTCTATGAAACACTTAGCTCGAACTGGCTAGAAATAATCATAAGTAGGGTAAGTAAGCTATAGAGTAAGCAAATAATCGAAGTATAATATATTAAAAGACCTAATGCTTGATCAATCTGTCTATTTGGTAATTGTAATATGCCTTGTGACCCAAATCCTGTTGTCAACCAGTGGACTTTCATCCGAATCTGTGTCGAGCTCCTGATTCTGCCATTCTCTACCACGCTTGAAGTGCGCTGTTGATAGCTTTTTCAACTGATATGAAGGGCCAGGTTGATCGCTGAATTGACTTGGTTGGGGTTTTGTTCGCGAATGACTGTTAGAGAATTTGCTCGCTGGCATCGAGGCACCCAGTGTCGAAGAGAACCAGTCGCTGACAGATTTTGGAAGTTTAAAATACGCTTTAAGTATGGGTCGAACTGCGAAATAGAGGAATCAGTAATTGTCCATGAAAAAAAGAGCTTGGAGAAAAAAGAAAATGGTAGCATTGAAGTAGCTGTAGGAGATAGAGAAGTAGGGAATAAAAATGGGGAAGTTTATATCGAAGAACAGAATCGTGCAAACACACATGTCGGAACACAGGCTCCTAAAATGGCGCTCCCCTCCTCAATCATCAACCACTCGTTTGCAGTCGAGAATCCAGAAACTGTATAGACTTTAGTAACTTTCAGAACGAAATGGTCTCATTTGTCCTACAATGCTCTGGATCATGAGGCTGATATGAGTATGCTATGCGTAGTATGCATGTCACAACAACGCTACAAGCTAGTCAATGTCATGTCACTCGCATCATTGAGAGGACGAAATTACTTACAACCCACCAAACCAAAAAACCAAGAACAAAAGCACCTTCTTCCGTACAGGGACATGGAGGTCTCTAATGACAAAAAAAGGCAAGGCCAGAATAACAATATCCAAGATTGCATTGGGTACCTCGAAGCCAAGAACTATCTCTCCGTAAGGAATGCAATGTGTGGTAGGTTGAAGTCTGAGGGCTAGATTATATGCTGCTCTGATAGGTGTGCATCCGAACACAGTCAAGCATACTGTGATTATGAACCATATTGTGCATAACCCCATTGTTATATCCACGCATCGAATGAGATTTGGGGTCGTTTTGAATAAAGAGCGATACATGCATAATATCGAGATCTTAACGGCCGTGATGATAAAAGGAAAGTGAGTGCTACCAACCCATAACAACTGTATGAGTGTCAGCTCGGGACTACTAAAGAAGCTATATTGTATATGGGACTTTACCTCGAGCATTTTCAATCGATGATCTGGATCCATGACTAGATATGGCTCGAGGGTGCCTGATAACTTCGTGATGTCTATTCGATGCAGTTAGTACGAAGTATCAGCTCTGGCTATTGTATATACTCGCCGCAAATAATCACAATACAATGCGAAGCATACATCAAATAAGCTGCAAGAATCCACCAGTCATCATAGCGGATGAATCGCCCGGTCGTCGTCGTACCCTTTGTTTGTATCCTGGAAATGACGCGTAAAATGAGGGCTGTTGTGTCTATGACCAAGAACGAAACTGTTGCCTCCATATTGGACATTCCATCTGGGAGGATTGAAACCATGATTAAGATTGAATAATGGATAAATTCCCAAGAGTGTAACGATAGAGGTATGGAATACGAAATTGAAAAGGGCCTACATGATGTAGATAAGATTATAAAAACCTTTTCAATCTAAGGAATCAAGTGAATGTTACAAACCACGTCAGTACCGAACAACGAAGACAGAATATTAAATAGAACGGTACGGAGGATCTGGGGGTAGTTCCCCATAATCTCGGATGAATCAAGATAAGGAGTGTGGTATCAATTCAATAATGCGGCTTCACAACATGATGTCCCAGCGAAACGGTATATCAAGATTCCCTTCCCGAACAAAGCCATATGAAGGACACGCCACCTGCAATTTAGACACGAATGATGGCAATTCGATGGGAATTGTCCAGATAAGGATGTGACGATGAGGAACCAAAAGTTGGTGATAGATGCAGGTATACAATAACTAAATCAATGTGTACATTTGTATGAGTGGCTTGATCCTGCCGACAATATACAGCGAAAATGTGCCTTGCAGCATTTAGTGACAGAAATCGAGACTTGTATAAGATCTATGAAATCGAAATTGCATCCAGTATTGAATTCACCAGCTTTGGTGGCTTTGAGGTCTCCTGCATACATCAGTCCACCAGCTCATCATTCAAGGGGGTTCCAACTTGGCCATTCGATGCCACCCATCCACATTTCCATTATTTGCAAGAACGTTTCGTAACGCGCCATGCCTGTTTAAGAATTTGTGTTGTAGTAAAATATGATAGGTATGGTGTAAATCTCTGTAGGAAGCTGTGATGAACTGGGCTTTGAAGGTTAGAAAAGGATGGGATGCAACATTGAGGGACCCGTGCACGGATGTGGCCAGGGAGGAGTTCAAAGCCGCATCATCTTAATGAAATCACTACTCGTACTTCTTACACTTATCATTCTGGACCGTTTATGTTTCAAGAATAAATTTGTACTTTTAAGCCGAGTGTCTATCATATGCTTCGTGGGATATCTAAATAAGAAACAACAAGTGAAATCCTTCATTGCCGTGTATTTCCCTCTTCCCAACACCTTCAAAATACCAACTTCTATTACGATCCGAAACGTAAACACATCAAAACTCCTTTAACGCCATGCTACTGAACTAGAAAAGTCAAATCAAACTTCTCCTCATTCCTTAAGTTTATTTTCGGTGTTCTCTCCATCTTTAAACAGTTTCATTCTTCTCACTCTCCTCATGAGCATTTAACTTTCTCGCCTCCCGTTCCTCCATGTCCTCTATTGTCTGCTCCGCTTCATCTTCATTTGAAGAAGCTCCTCTTATCTCCGCCATTACACGTGCCGCTTCCGCCGCAAACTTGCATTTCATTCGAATGGATGCTCCGTATTTGTAAAAGAGGAATGGAAATGGTACGCACGCTAATGCGAGGAAAGCTGGAATTGAACTTGCCCAATGAATACCAAGGTTTTTGTACATATCTAATCATACAGTTAGTTATCTCTGGTTTGACACAGCTCTGGAAAGTTCAGATAATACTTACAAGTAGTAAAGAGTGGGAATGCCGCACCAAATAAGGAGCGAACAACGGTGCTGGCCGCTAAAACGGAAGCAGCGTAAAGAACATACGCATCAATCAAATAATTCATGACACTCAAGAACACCAGTACCATCCCACATCCAAAAGGAGCAGTGCCTATGATACTAACAATCCAATGTACATTTGGAGAATTTGTCCATGCGAACCAAAAGAGACCAACAGGCAAGCATATACTTCCGATGAGGGCAGGTGGAAGTCGAGCTTCAGGTGGTGCCGCATTGTTATGCTTAGCAGCTGTAGCCCTATATCGTTTATTATCCCACAGTGAGTAGATAACTGCAATCATCATTCCGACTGCAACACCACAAAAAGCCAATCCACCAATACCAGCACTCCATCCGCGTTTCATTTGGTACACAATCGGGAATGCTCCGAACATCATGTATAAAGTTCCGTATATGATTGCCAAGTACAAACTTAACATGAACACGATAGGTTCTGTGAACAACAAAATCCAAGGTCTCAAGAGTGCCGTTTTGAATTCTGCCGATAGAGATTTAGAGCCGTTGTCGACTTCCATCTTGGATTTGTAAACTTTTCCGGTCAAAGAGGACATCTTATTTGCCCGGCGACGAAGAATGACTGGTGAATAAGTTTCGGGAATGGTGAGAGTGCCAATGATCCAGAGTGCTCCGGTGAAGATGGCCATGAGTCCTCTATTTATAGTGTTAGGCTTATGTTATAAATAGTGATTAAGCAATGCAACTTACTCGACCCATCTCCAACCTTCTGATTCTCCTAAGAAGCCACCTACAATTGGTCCAATAACAGGGCCTAGAAATGGTGCTGCAGCGAAGATACTCATAGCAACTCCTCGATCACAAGCAGAGAACATATCGGCAATAACTCCCCCAGCATTGGTAAGAGGAGAACTACCAAAAGCTCCCGCGAGGAATCTCATGATCAAGAGTGTTTGTATATTTTGTGCTCCAGCAGCCCCAGCATTGAAAACAGTAAGCATAGCATAAGTACCAAAGAAAAGTACTTGTCGACCATATAATTCTGACATAGGAGCCCACAAAAGCGGACCGATCGCGAAACCCAAGACGAAAAGCGAGACTCCTAAAGTGACGACTTCCGTACTGACATTGAATTGCTCAATGATCTGTTCAACCCCACCTGTATATGCCGAGGACACAAAAGATACTGCTAACGTTGCCTTCACCAATAGTTAGCATGTGTGTAAGAGAAGTATCTATGTCTCACCCCCATCTGTTACACAGCTCAAGCTTCGGAGAATAATAACCGAAACCTTAATGGAAAAAAGGGGAGAGCTCACAAAGGCAAGAAGCACGGTGATAGTCCACTTCTTCAACACGGTAAAATTCAAAGGATTTCTGCGATCATCTGGGATATATTCCACCACATAAGGATCCTGTTCTGTCCCAGATCCTCTATAAGGGTAGTTGAGTACTTCGGGCGTGACATGTATCTGGTCGAAAACCAACTCCCAATGTCTAGCCTTTTTTTGGACATTTTTCTGTTCTTCCAAATCCCTATCCATATTCGTTGTAGTTGAAGAACCAGAATCTGATGTTCGAACCATGATGTTAGTTGTGACGGATTTATTCGAGTTGGGAGTTGGGGGTAGGTCGCTAGGAAGGTATGGTTAAATGCAACCTTGCCAAAGTAGTATTCGAACACCGAAATGCGAGATTGAATGCGCTCAAAAATAGTCTAAACATTTGGCGGCGCACACCGTAGATTATATACTATCTGCAATATAATATCATTTGAAATCCAATCTCAACAGCACCTATCTGTTGGCTCACTAAGACCGCTGATTGAACATCCGACGAGGAGATACCTAAGCATTTGTGCAAGTTATGCTGATCAATTCACATTATGCAATGCATCCACTGAAAATATACACATCCGGGGGAACTTGTTCCCGGTATGTCATGACGTCTTGATTAAGGACGTACCCTTTAGTGGATCAAGAATAGCCTACTCCGTAATGAGTTGGGGTTATGCAAATGGGAATAAGTAATGGTTAATTTTGTGAATGGATCATGGATCAAAAGTCTCCAAATGGGGGAAACATCCGTGCTTTGGCTTCCTTTCATTCCCCCTTTGAGTAGTAGCTGACAGCAGGATCTTTCGACCTTCCTCAAGCTTATTACTCCGTGCACTGATGTATGTGTATGTTTGGTGTGTCATAGAAGATTCCAGTCTAAAAGGTGCCGACATAGCCGAACGAGCCTTGGCAATAAGTGGATGTAATAATTATCGTTAACTATGCTCAAGTTATGTCTAAAATGTGCCAAACATCTTGAAGAAACCGGGCTCTTGGTTCCTATTCCGTGTCCGTACCGGAGGAAGAGTTGATATTCAAGATCGAATCCCGAGCGCTTGTCATACGAATGAAAACAATGTGAAAACGGCAAAACCCCATCTTCATTTATATCATCTGATTAAGATTGGTGATGATAGGTATTCCACAACGTTATTCGATTTCAATATACATCATCCTCGCTAATAGGTTTTAAATTATCGTTTTGTTTTCTGCCGTTTCTTGTCTTTTACACTCATATTGACACGTTTCTTAATCGCATCATGCGCATGTTTGTTGACCTTGGCCTTTTCCTTCTTCTTCTCAATAACTGCATGCACCTCCTTTTTCTCCTCGACTATCGGTGCAACCTCTTCCTCAAAGCCACCCCATTCATCATCGTCTTCCGGTGAGAATTCTTGAGCTTCCTCAGGTGCCATTTTGGCATCGACATTCAACTCCTCTGCATCTCCCTGCTCTTTTCTGACAGGGAATCCCATTAAATCGCGTACGAGATGCCCACGTTCATCTCTCAGGAGTCCGGCTTCAGGATCAACAGTTGGCGTTTGATCTCTCACAAATCCTGCCAAGAAGAACCCCATAGTAGCATGCTCATCTCCTTTGTTGGCTCGAATGCATCCTTCTGCAACCTCTTCATCACCATCGCATGCTTCTACAGAGCCTCGAACTGGCCATTCCCTCATACCCTGAATTTGATTATCACGACGAAGTATTCTCCAGCCCTTTTCTTTTGCAATATCAGAAGCTAAAGCCCTTTGGACGACAGATTCATTTTCTTCAGCATGAATTGAACAAGTGGAGTAGGTGATCTTTCGAGCAGCAGGATACTTGAATGCATGAAGAAGAAGTTCCAGCTGAAATTCTGCAAGAGCAGTTAATCTAGCTTTCAGTTCGGCATCACTATCGACAGCAGTAACGACTCCATCATCATCAACCATCACTTCTAACGCATCACTATCATCCTCGCGCTTTCGTTTCTTATTTGTCTCCTTCTTACTTGGTTCCACTGGCTCCGGTGCCTTCTTCGGCTTCTTCTTGTTTCTAGAAGGTTTGGCAACGATTTCCTTGATACCTGGTAGATGTAATTCGGGCATATCATCTCGACCAACAATCCCACTTCCCGAGCAACTGGGATCCAGCAACAAAGCACCAACATTTTTGTATGTGCCGGAATTTGGGTCAGTCTTTAAGAAGTCGTATCCAGGATGAAGCGCAGTAAATGTATTCGACCCCGCCAAGTTGACCATCTTTTCTAGAGTTTCAGCTCTCCCTTTGTTCTTCTCAAATGCGTGAATAACTTGAGTGGATTCATCCGGTTCAGGAAGTCGATCAACTAAAATAGCCGCAATATGAGTGGTCTTGTTACCAGGTGCTGAGCAAGAGTCGATAATGTCACCATCTTCAGCCAGAGGATCAAGCAGATACGCTGGGAAACACGATGCTTTATCCTGGAAGATAATTTCTCCAGATTTGTATGCTACGCTCTTCGAGAGATCAATGTTTGGAGATATAGCAATAAGGTTTGGAATATGAACATCGATATACAAGCGTTTAGACCCCCGGTGTCTAACAGCATCGATTGTCGCTGCACGTTCAAATCCAGCAAAAGTAGATTCGAGTTGATCCTCGAGAGTAGTCTTCAAAGTATTAATACGTATCCAACGAGGGTAAGGTGCCTCAGATGTATCAGTTGCATTCTCCTGACCTGTCTCGACATAGGCTTTTAGAGCTTCCATGGTGCTCATTTTTCTCCGAAGTCTTGCCTTGGTCAACTCGGCTTGCAATCTCCCCTTATGGCGCTCAATTGAGGCTCGTAAACCATGAGTAGCTGGGAGAGCAATTCCTCTTTTTGCCAAGAGTAAGTCATGGACGAGAAGAAGAGACAAAGTTGGAGTTAGCTATAAATGACATTAGCTACTATTTCAAAGTTTCAACCAATTGCAATACTGACCTTTCGCTCTAAGCGCAATAAATCCGCATTTTCGATTACATCCTTCAAAACAGGACTCCATTTACACGTCTCTATCGCCAGAGCATAGATTTGAACTGGTTGTGATTTTAAATCTTTCTTGCTGAAAATTCTAGATCTTAAACTACCACCTTGATTAGTAGGAGCAGCTAGAACTTCAGCTGCCTCATAATAGAGCGACATTGTATCTGTAGATGTTGAGGTGTCGAGCTTAAGAATTCTTGATGGAAAATATCAAAGTACAAATTTCTCGCTACTGTAATTGGTCACAAGAGGTACTTGACGAATGTAAGAGATTATCACATCAACAAAAGATCGCAATCATTGATGAAGTCGACTATATAATTGCAGTAGGAGAAGGATTTGAGGACCCTCTTCGATATGAAAAAGTAATAAAAGCAGCAGAGACAAACAGGGGAAAGTTGTTTTGAGAGGATCTCAAATGGTAAGCACGTGCCATCGCTATCTTATCGGATGGCGCTAGTGAAAAAAAGTCGGACGTTCATCCAAAATTTCTGAAGTCCATACTTATCCATCGACAATCCAGCACAACGACAAGCTGGTTTAGAAAGAAATACCGCCAACATGAGGTAAGAAACTTTCCCGTCCCTCTATTGCATCAAGTCTCTTTCCGCAATTCTTGGACTTTCGAGATCTCAATCGCATTTGCAATCTTCTTGACGATAAAAACATGTATCGCAATCTTTACCTTTGCTAATTCATCAATAGAATCGAAACCTGTTATTTTTGCTCGCAGCCCTGCTACCCAAGTAAGGGCATAACATTCGTTCGTAACGATGCGCGAACCTTTAGATTCTGCCGCAGCAAATGCCACAAGAACGTACGTCTAAACCACATGCATCTCCCTCCAATCCAGAACGCCACAGACCCCCCATCTTACCATTGCAACTTTCTCTCCAATGCTCAATTCCCATGCCCTGACTAACGTCCTCCCTCTCCTAGTTCAAAATGAAGCGTAATCCCCGTAAACTCAAATGGACCAAAGCATTCCGCAAAGCCGCGGGCAAAGAAATGGTCGTCGACAGCACCCTCAACTTCTCCGCCCGCCGCAACGTTCCCGTCCGTTACAACCGTGAACACATCGCCACCACCCTCAAAGCCATGCAACGTGTATCTGAAATCCGGGCCCGTCGCGAACGTGTCTTCTACAAGAAGCGTATGGAAGGCAATGTGGCTAGACAACGAGAAGCCAACCGAAAATTGGTTGCAGAGAACGAGCACTTGCTACCCAAGATGCGCGGCAGCGAGAAGAAGAGACTCGAGGAGTTGGGAGAAGAGGTCAACGAGTTGGATTTGGAGAGAGAGCAAAGAAGTGTGTTTGGAAAGCAGAAGATCAGGCTCAAGGAGTTGGTTGATGGGGGTGTGGAGGAGGCTGATGATATGGAGATGGATGATTAAGGGAATTGTGAAAACATCCGGTTTTGAGATTGATGTCACATATGGCTTGCGGCTGGCCATCAGAAGCTGGTTTGGAAACAAGATTATTCCATTTGACCTCCTTCGAATCGCCAATACCTGGATCAGCAATGTTGTAAGGACTCACCAGAAAGCACGTCATGAAAAGTCAATCTTTGTTAGGAAGGATGGAGTTTATGGATTTGTAAAAAGGGCGTTTTGGTATCGCAATAATTATATTAGCCTATCTTAGGAGAATTTCGCAAGATGAGAATTGCAAGACAAGCCAAGATTCAAAATTTTCCTTCTGCAAAGTCCAGTATCGAAATGAGTGGGGGAGAGAGGCATACACATGGCTGTAAACAAAGTCTTTTAAATCATCATTCTTGGTAGCATACCTCTATATAGCATATGTCCTCCCAATTTAAAACTCATTGAATATCTACCTCCCTATCGCTCCATCACTTCCAACCCATCCATCTCACACACTCTCAAAGTGGCAGTTTTAATTTCATACCTCATATTCCATATTTGTAATATGTAATCTACACACTCACATACCCTATATGCCTCTTATACCCTACATACATACCAATCCAATCTCTTATTCACAGCCCATCATCTATTTACAGTACTATGGCACAGCTATTCGTCGAACACCAAAATCACACTAAAAGTCATACAATTCACCTGTAGATTTTCTCATAATGATCTTATTAATAATAAAAGGAATTAATATCAAACCATACATTTTAATTCAAAATTCGATAAAAATGCAAGGATTTATTAATTAATTTTTATTAATTATATAATCTATATAGAAAGTTGATATAGTTAGATTAGAAATCTTGAAATTTACTAATAAAACAAATATAATGAACCCAACGAGCGTTTAGAAATCAACCTTAGAATTAAAAGTTATAGAACTAAAGAGAGTATGCTATAGAGCTATATATGCGATCGGTTCAAAGCTTAATACTATATTAGCCCAATCGGATATAATCACATGTATATCGTGACATTACCCTCCCCTTCTAAAAAGTTCGCTTTAAACTTACTTTAAACGAATATCTTAAGTACAAAATATAATCAATAATCTTCCTCTTTATTATCAATATCATTATTTTCTTTATTGTTTTTATATAAAGTTTTTTGAAAGATTAAATATATTATTACTAACATGTTTTATCATCAAGTGAATCATATCACTGAATGAATCACTTTCACTTTAATTTACCACTTTAAACTTATATTATTCAATAATAATTGAATCAATTAATTAAAACTATTAAGAATCTAATAATTTAGAATCTATTATATTATTTTAACAAGTTCTTGAATTATAACCTAATTGTTACGATGGGTAACAGAATGCCATATGACCAGTGTCACGTGGTGGAGTTCTCAGGAGCCAGGGCTCCAAGGAGGTCCTTAGGAGCCAGGACTTCAAGAAACTCCAAATCAACATTAGAGAACAAAGATCTATATAAGGAATGGAATTTCATTATAATATAAAGCGTCATACTCAAAAAAACAATCATTAGTTTCATTACTATAATTACAAGAATTATAATCAATTACAACCTTATTGAATTCCTACTTGAAGTTTAGTCTAAACTACCTTGAGAGATCTCTAGACACTTTTACATGACCCTAGAGGCAGCTCCCGTAACACTAATTTTCTATACTTATTATAACACCTATTAAAAAATACTTCCTTAATAGGATTTCCTTTATTTTAACACTTGTTACATTAAATCTGAATATCAACCTTTTACTAAAATAATATATTAAAAGCCTCTTTGTTACGACGGTATTTAACATATCGTATTACATGATCAAACAGTCATATAATGGATCTAGAGGATCTAGGGGATTGAAGAATAAATATTTAGATCTATAAGATCCAAAGGATTCAAGTAGAACAAAGTCTCATAGTTCTGTAGAGAATGAAGGTCTATATAAGGAATAGGATTTCTTTATATATAAAGCTTTATACTTAAGAATAATTATTAGTTTTATTATTATAATTACAAGAATTACAATTAATTACAACCTTATTGAATTCCTATTTGAAGTCTAGACTAAACCATTTTAAGAGAACTCTAGACATTTCCACGTGACCCTAGAGGCAGCTCCCGTAACACTCTTATTCAATAAACATTTCTCCTTAATATAACTAAGTTTTTTTCATATATCAACATTTGCTTAATATCTTATTTACTATCTAAAGTATACAAATCTCTACATTTAAAAGTATATTCTTATAAGCTAATCTCTTTATACCTTTAACTAAAACTAATACAATCTCAAATATAAATATAGGAAAGCTTAATTAATAATAAGTTATTCGAGATTTAATTAATATTAATTAAGAAAGAGCTTCAATTAGATTACAAGAAGTTTAAAAGATTCATTAATCTAAATCGAAAGAGGGAAGGGTAGATATACGAATTCGAATATCTAATTTCGAGAGTACAGCTTTAAAATTAAATAGGATTAAACCTATTCCTTAAAATCTTAATTTCATATTCTAAAAAATAATTAATTCTTCATATACAACTTTGAAAACTATAAAGAATTCAATTTTCGAAATATAATTAATATATACCTTAATAAATCCATTAATCTGAATACTATATAAACATTTTAGATTGTTAAAACAACCCATATTAAATAATTAAATTAAATAACTTGAATACAATAATAAACATACACATTTAATATTATTCTTTTCATAATATACTTGAAAAGCTCTTGATTTATAATTTTCATACCCATTTAATATTAACATTCAATATTTACCCTTTCTTCGATTTTTAATATATTTATCGAAATATTTCAATCATTCTAAACCCATCTCATTATTTGTTCATTCATTAGATATAGGTTTAATAACTCAATCCATAGGAAAATCGGTTTCAATATACCAATTGGAAAGATAAACCTATCCTTAAATTACTAGAAATAAGAATATAGTTTTATCTTCCTTATTACTATATATAATCGCTATAGCTCATTCTCTATTGTCTAATTATATTACCTTACTTCTTTCATTTTGTTTAATGTTAATTACTACTATTCCGGAGTATATTATACCCATCATAAAGCCTGTTTCGTTGAAATTATAGAAATCATAATCAAGAATATTATATTTCGCTCATATATTCAAAACTAGTCAAAACCACTTCTCAATAAGCTTAAAATCTTTACAAAAAGCCCTTTGAAAATCATAAACATAATTAAAATACATCTTTAATTTGATTCAATGCTTTACAAATCAATACATTCAAAGCTTTCCAATACATTTTGTACTTTTCAATTTAAGAATATAATTTACTATATCTTTTACTATTTTAAATTTAAATAAAAATCCTTTTAAATCCATATCAAATATATATTGAATAATCACTTCCTCTTCTAATTCTATAAAATTATAACAATTCGCTTGAATTTCAATATAAAGAGTAAAACCATTCATTTTATAATTGAATATTATATATAATAAATTATATAGCTTAATAGCTTTTCGAATACTAAGTTTTTTATCTTTTTAAATAACTTCAATAACTAAGATGTCACAACGGTATTCAATATACCGCGTCATATGGCCAAACAGTCACGTGATGGACCTAGAGGATCTAGGGGATCGAAGAATAAATGTTTAAATCTATAAGATTCAAAAGATTTAAGTAGAATAGAGCCTTATGATTCTATAAAGAACGAAGGTTTATATAAGGAATAAGGTTTTTTTATATATAGAGCTTTATGCTTAAGAACAATCATTAGTTTTATTATTATAGTTATAAGAATTGTAATTAATTATTAATCTTATTAAATTCCTACTTGAAGTCTAGTCTAAACCACCTCGAGAGATCTCTAGCCACTTCCACGTGACCCTAGAGGCAGCTCCCGTAACATAAGAGTATTCAAGCTTCTTTATTATTCGATTACATTTCAATTAATTAATAAAACATGTATTAAAGTAAAAGATCAAGAATTAAAGTAAAAGTAATCTACTCAGTAATATAATCCACTCAGTAATAAAACATGTTAAATGAAAAGCATTAATAAAAGCTTCTACCTTTTCTAAGTAATCTTTAAAATATCGACTATTGATTACCTCATCAAGATCCTCATCCTTATCATTATAATCATTATTCTTTATATCAATAGGAATAATTATTATAACTAGAATAAATTCTTTTTGATTTCGAGCATCTTAATACAAATCAAATGAGCAGGCTTGTACTTAATGGAAAACACTTTTATATTAAATATATTTGTTTTGTTTACATAAAAGGGTTCTTTTAATAAAGGAAAACTCGAGTATATAAAAATAAAATGGAATTGAAATTGAAATGGGTTGGATATTAAAGGAACTAAAGGTATTAATAATATTAATGTTAATAACATTTATTAGATTATAATTATAAAAATGAAATGAATTCTATAATATATATAAAGTTCTAAGTTTATTAGAGTAGAATAATATAAGGAATTCATTTGCTATATATATAATTAATTGTTGTATAACCTAAACAAAATTGAAATAAAAATGGAATAAAGAAAGCTATCAAGAAAGACAATTTCTAAGAGTAATATTAAATTCATTACGAAAGATTGAGATTTTATTCAAATCAGGTCAATTCTAACCTTTGGTTTTATAAAAAGTTCTTTCGAATTTTGTAATATAGATATATAAAGAATCGATTCCTTACTTAAGATTAAATAGTTTATCTTTAGCTTTTTGAACTTTATTTAAATTATTATAAATATATATAAATTAGTCCAGAATTATTATATAATCTAAAGGAATATTTTGATTAAGAAAAGAAAGCTAAGATAGTATTATAGCTTATACATAAAATTTAAGATTAAGATAAATGTAATAAAATTGAACTATAAAGTTGCTGATTGTAGTATCATTTACTTATAATTTCGCTTAAATTGAAGGTATTTATATATCAAATTTTTGAGAACTATTATTAAACTTTTCGAAATCAAAAAAAGAGGATTTCAATCAAAAAGGAGTATAAACAGCTGGAATATATTCAAAGATTAGAAAGCATAGGAACAAGATTTCATTCCATTAACAAATCACTTTGCTATAAAGCTCTATAATTGTAAGATTTATCAAATTGTAATTTATAGCTAAGAAATTAAGGATAAGAAAAAAGATAATATTTTCAATTAAAATTAAGAAGATTTATATACAGGTAAAAAAGTAAGAGCAATATATCTAAACAAAAGTAAATAGAGTATATATAAAAGCTTATTTATAAGTATATATAGATATTATTTCATTTCTTATTTAAAAGAGCTTTTAATAATATAACAAACCCAACGAACATTTAAAGATCAATCTTAAAATTAAAAGTTATAGAATTAAAAAGAGTATATTATAGAACTATATATACAATTGG